CGTCTCCATTCTCTGAAGATTTGCGCATCCTTTGAATTTGCATTAGCAAACTTTTGTTATATTCAAAATATCAATTTTTATTCCCCAAAATTAGATACCTTCCCGAAAAGATCTTAGAGATTATTCTCCGTAAATTAACAGGTACGACAATGTTCAACGGTGAGACGGTCTCAGTGCCGGCCGGGGCGCCGATTCTGCCGCTACTGACGCCTAACCCCAGCGTTCCCACCACCACTCCCAGCCAGCCCACAAAATCTAGCCACAAGCCGAAATCCTCCCGGGAATCCTTCGAGGAGATGAAGCAGTCCCCAGGCCTCAAAACTGGCGACATGAAGGACCCCCTCAATTTCCTGGACCCGCTCTGGAGTTTGAAGAAAAAGTGACATACACAGCCGCATGTGCTTTGCGGCAAAAGGCGATAAACTTTCGGTCAATCAATAGTGGTTTTCGAACTTTGATAGGCTTGATGTGTGATCTTATTAACTGTGCAATAAGGTTGTAAATCGTGTGGAGATACTATGGTAGGCGTTTGATGAGTTTGAGAACCACTGATTGACTCGATCCTAATGATATAATGTTGTACTTTTGATATTCCATTTTGGCAAGAACATTATGCAGTACGTTAACTAAATTAGGTAGTTCATTGACACTGTAGTCAATTTTATAACTTGTATCGCGTAAACAAATAGTTGTTGAACTGTAATCGCATATTCACACCTACCCACACAGCATACCTATGCAACTTGGAAACATTTTTTTAAATTATATTGAGGTATACATGTTCATAACATTATTGTAATTGTTTCTTAAACATTTCGATTATATTAATTAACAAGATATTAAACAAATACATAGGTTAAGTCTGATATAAGATATTATGCATCGTCAATCTCTTTCACAGATTTATTTGGGTGTTCTGGCACACTAGGCGTGCGTTTGCATTGCGATGTTAAAGCGATACCGTTGCGTTGTTTTTTATACAAGGATTAGACCACATAGTGCGTTACGAAGGCGTCTTGCGTCTTCATTGTTGCAACTTGCTTGTTGTCCAAAACGCATGGTGTGGCTTCGCTACTATTGTTTCACGATAATCATAATTCATACATCACTGAATTTGTAAGGAATTAAACTAACTAGTTTTGACTATGCGAGGCTCCACAAGTTTGTCATACAAATTTTTTTTTTTTTTTTTTTTTTTTTTTTTTTTTTTTTTTTTTTGAAATTGAACTTTGTGTCTAGATAATCTAAGGTCAATGGCACCAAATCGCTTTCCGTGACTTCGATTTGTTGTTTGAGCTGACTTTTTAGTATTTTAAAGCGACTGGTTTGCAGTTTGACTTGAATTACAAAATTTGTTTAAATTAATTTGGAAAAATTGCCATCCTCTTTTAAATGCATTTATCAAAAATTACTGTCATTATTGAAAATATTAAAGTTTTTTAATACTACTGTGATCAACATTATAAAAAGTATTATTTTATGATTTTGTTACTTAAAAAGGTAATTTTTAAAATTGATGTTATTGGGTGACTGAGCATAAGTATTGTAAGTTCTAGCATAGTAATGTTGAGGTATTTTATAAATCGATCAATGAATTAAATTAGTCACATTCCTATTTAATTTTCTATAATAGTGCGGTATTTCTAGATTTATAAGGTATAAAATATAATAACCAATCACAAATTTTACTTTATGTGTATACCTGTCATATTATTATTTATCTCATAAAATTGTATTTTAGTGTGTAATAGATGATAAAATTAGGCTAAAATACAGGGTGTTTGGCGCATCGTGTGCCAAAATTATTTGGCGGATAAAATGGGTCATTTCCTATATTTTCAGCCCCCATAACACGTTTCATGCCAGGCGGCTACTTTTATATGAATTTTTTTAGTAATTTCACCAAAATACCCAAATCGCATCATTTAATTTCGATTTAAAAAAAACTACTAGGCGTAGCCTCAAAGTAAATATTTTGTTTTGACGTGCATTGATGTAGGGTTGCATCAAATCTAAATTTACTGGCAAATATCATCTAGTTTTTTTTAAATTCAGCTTTGAAGTTTTCCGAAAAGTTAAAAATGGACTGAACAATTAAGTTTACATGGCTATAATAAAAAAATTAAAAGAGATAGCGATCTTCAGATTTTATCGAAACTTCTCTAGTCTATCCCCATTCAAACGGTATACTAATCTTGTTTAAATAATAACAACAACTTCACAAATTCCTTAAATTAGTGCATTGACTCAACTCGGACTGATATTCAAATTTTGAATTTTGAGCCTTTTTTTTTACTTTACAATAAGTTCAAAGCAGGTAAAAACTTCACAAAATATTTACTTTAAGGCTACGCCTAGTAGTTCTTTTTTTAATTGAAATTAAATGATGCGATTTGGGTATTTTGGTGAAATTACTAAAAAATAATATAAAAGTAGCCGCCTGGCATGGAACGTGTTATGGGGGTTGAAAGTATAGGAAATGACCCATTCTATCCGCCAAATCATTTTGGCACACGATGCGCCAAACACCCTGTATATTCCGCTACTGTTTTATAAGTGGTCAAGGGTCTCGCTTAACAAGCTGCTGTAAAGATACCGGGATTTAATTAAGGCGATTAGAGTCCTCAATGACCTTGGGCGTTTGACCTTCACGCCGCGAGCAACACCCGCGTACCCCGCACCAAAAACTCCGATTTGACACCGATCAAAAATACACGGGCATAGGTAGATACAGAATAGAAGCTCTTTCTTCATACATTAATGCCTATTATTTTAAACTTAAATTGATGAACCTTGATGTCGGTGTCATTAATTAACTCAGGCGTAAAGGTATTTAATAAAAATAACAAAATCCATGAACATTTTGTACAGGATAAAATTTTATTTTATTTTTCGTAAATTTTCCAATGCTTTTGTCGGTTCAATCGTTCTCGAAATTTGAACAAACCTATTGGAACGCATTAGTACCTAGTATTATCTATGGCCTAAAAAAGCAAATGTTTCTGCTTTTGTCTATTGTCATTCTCTCTGTGTCACTTAAGAAGAATAAACTGAAAATGNTCGTTTGATTTGTATTTTTTATTATTATACCTAAATAATTTCATTACAATTTTCTAAAAATGCACAAAAACTGAAAAATCTTGAAAACGGTGATATTTTTACTGGGGTCAAAATTGGACGTTAGGGAGACCATGGCGAGGCCTATCGATGGTTGAAGGGTTATCCATTGTTTTTGGGACACCCTGTATAAGCAAGTGCCTAATGTTAAGTAAGTACGCTACTTTGAAAATCATGAGTCTTCAATTTTCTAAGGTAAACTGCAGGGTCTGATGATGGGGCTGGAATGTGGCCATAAGAATAGGCTAGTTTCTTAAAAAAAGACTTTTGGTCCGTCAATTTTACATTATCAAAAAATATTGGACACAGGATATTTTTATTTGTCAATTAAACAAGTAATTACGAAGATATGATGAAATTCCGCGTGACGACACAAATCGCCACATTTTTAAGCATGCCTTGACATGTCATGTGCCTCATCTTCTGAACTTTGTTGCGCTTCATCTCTTTAAATTTTCATAAGTTTAAAAATGTGAAAAATACATTTAGAGTTTGTTTTTGGTAAGTTCACCGATCGCGACGGACTAATTCAAACTCTTGCTACTTTCTTGCTTTATCCACGAAACATCCCTATTCTTCGAAATTATTACGATCTACAAACGGAAAATCTCTGCTACTACGCCGCAGTAAATTCCCCATCATACCTAAATAAAAATATTTTTTTAAAAACAAGCTCTTGTATTCTAATAATTTTGGTTTCATGACATGCTCTTAAAATTCATCACCTTATAAGAGGATTTCAGTTATTATCTGCGAAACTTTTTAATAATATAGGTACGTTTCATGGTTAGGTAATTTAGGGAAGTTTATTTGCACTTAACATGAAAAATATGGTATCAATGTACTGTGTACCTATGCACCTTCAGTGGCAACAACAAGGTCTACTGAGTACCTATAGTCTACTAAAGGCATGAAATAGATTAATTTCACTAAAAATTAAAACCAACTCCAAAACGACTCACCAAAAGGTAGGCTGCCACCGACTCCGAAAATGGCTAATTTTGTAATCAGTATCCAAATTTTTTAATAAGCTCTATAGAACAATTCAATACCACTTTATCTTAATTTTTTTTAATGTGACAGGAGGCAAACGAATTAAAGAATTTCTAATCTATTCGTGCAAAAATCTTTTAAATTAACATAGCCGTTTTGGAGGAGTAGGGAATTTAAGTAAAAAATCGATGTCCCGTATTTATTTTTTTAATCCAAAACAAAGAGACGTAGCGAAAATTCAAACGTCACAAATGTAGTCCTTGAACTGTTGTATAACATATATTTTTTTCAACTATTTCTATCCAGCAGTAAAAGAGGAGTAGGCTTTACAAAATGCCCATTTGGCGCGGATTGAGGACACTAATTGCCTTAAGTAATGGATGTCCGAAACATGATTGGTGCTTATGAATGAAGACCCTTGTAAAACAGTCGTGGAATATGTACTTATTTAATTACTATGAGTAGAACATTGAATACTATTGTGTAGTTTAGTGACATTTTACAAGGTACTCAATAAAGCAACTGACTGAACATTGCTGTTTCACTTCAATCTTATCACCGCTGCTTCTGACGTGCTTTGATAAATATTTGCTAAAAATAATTTCAGAGATAATAATGAATTATTAGCTAATCAATGTGACTGATAGTAGCTGAAACGTACGGACAAGTGTCAAGTGCTAATTTGTTTTCTTTCTAGTGTGAGAAAATCCATTAACGTTAGTTAATAGCTTGATTATGGGAAAGCTGTGCGGGCAAGTAGGTGGCTTTCCTATAATGAGTTTGCCCTTGAGACAGTTGCAGGAGAAAGGGTGGTTAAGGTACTGGTACTGGGGAGATAGGAAGTGGTTCCGGGGCTAGCGCATCTCCGCAAGAGGCGGCTGGCGGGCGCGCGCTGTCTCAGGTCTCAGTCGGGCCGCGGCCTCCGCACGAGTAGACCGCACGCTACGCGCTCGCACGCCTCGCGCACGCGCCGTGCGACGATCGCGAACCACCCAGCAAAACATTACAAAAATCGCACCACCCGCTTTACAGACGAAAAGTGACAGTGACGTTTCGGGGGGAACCGGTGACAGACGCGAATGTTGTGATCGAAAATATTTGTTTGTAAAAAATTTCAGTGTTGTGATAAAAACGGAGGATTCGTGTGACGATCGATCGTGTTCAGTGCAGTGTGATCGGAAGTATGGATGGTCTGTCGGGTGGTTAGCGCGATGATGCGCAAGACTGGCGCGGCCGGCGGGCCGGAGCTGGCGCTGGACGCCGCGGACTGCATGAGCCTGCAGCAGATCCTGCAGGCCTTCAACTCCACCATCAGCGAGGAGCACGCCTGGGCGCTGTTCCACCAGGCGGCGCGCTGCTTCCAGAAGTGCCTGTCCGAGGGCGCCACCTGTTACGCGGCCACGGAGCCGCGCCACGTCGTGCTGCACAAGGACGGCAGCGTCCACCCGAGCACGCTGCTGCATCCAGGAGGTAAGTCTCCTATCATGCTTACCATAATCAAGCATTGAATAAGTTTCTCCAATATGTAATGATACATTTATGATCTCAAGTCGAAGAGTGATCCGTCCACGCATCAGCCTACCGTATTAAGACTGTATTGATAAAGATAATCATGAGGTAATAAAAAAAAATTGCACACAAAAATATTATTTTGAAACCTTTTGAAACTTTGTAGGCTACCTATAGTAAAATTAAGGATACATTTGGATCTGAAAAAGATTATTTTACGTATTTATAATTTCGCAATCAGAAAAGCACGCAAATGAAACGAACCTGTTATGAAATCAATTTCATTTTTATCTCTTATCAAATTTTGTACCTACATGTGATACGTCAACACTACTTACCTACTTACTTGCCTATTACTGAACAGTGTCCAACACGTGCTTGCTGCCGTATTGGTAAATTGGAAGCTGATAAGAATGGAAAGGTATCATCTAGTCAAAAAGATAAAGTTAAAAACTTCAGTGATTCCTTGGTTTATGAAACTTGGTTATGTAGACTCAATAAATTGGCTTTGAAAATTGTTTCGTACCCATCTAAACAAGTTTAGCTCTCATTTAAAATTAAAGCATAAAGATTTTTGCATATTTTTTTTATAAAAAAATATCTTACTTTTCGTTTTTTTTTTCAAAACGGTTTTCAACAATTTTACCTAGGACCTAGTTTTAGGTCCTACATCATTATTTTCTCTATAGTTTCTCTAGTCGCCGTTAAAAGTTTATACGAATTCCTTGTTTTATGTTTATCCATTTCCTAGAAACAACGTCATGTTTACCTATTTTACGTTGCTGCATTTCTCTAGTAAATAAACAAAGTTCTGCGTGGAATACTATGTTGAATACTACACTGAACTATAGTAAAGACATTATTTCAAAAGGAACATGCTAACACTGCAACTGATAAGCATTTCTAATTGAAGATTCAGAATGATTCTGTCCTCGCAGAAGAATGTCTCCGATCTCTCAAAGAAGCTAAATTCTTGGCGCCAAAAAATTTCGCCACTACTAGCGACTTGTCTCTGGTCAGTTTAAAAAAGAAATATTTATTATTCGAATTCCAATTCGCGAAATCGAATACGAATCCATTATCAAGTTATTCTTAACGAAAACAATTCAGCTTGTTATCCATAAACCCAAACCCAAAATTAGTCTTTTTATTAATCCAAATCATCGCTATGTGCAATACAATCCTTTCGTCGTTCCCATTACTTGCGTGCATTCTATGCATAGATGCATTGCACATTCTACGCCAATGATAGGTATTATATGACCATTTCCATGCATCTAGGCTAATGTATGACGCCGGTTTCTTTCGCCCGACACTTCGGTTTTGTCGAAGTCGATATTCCAAGTTGTTTCAAGATTATTCGTTTTTAAAGAAGCAATTGACCTAATTCAATGAACTGCTTTGTGAAATTATGCTAATTTATTTTAAATACGAACGACTTAAAGCTTGGATTTGACGATATCCAAAGAAACAGTTAAACGACTCTCTTTAACTAGTAATCATGTTATATAGATGTTCGTACACAAAGGTAGTCCTAATAGTTTTACACTGCCTACGCAACAGCGAAGAATTGCACTACATTGTGTATCGCCTATTGTGCAGGGATGCCATTTCTCCCACAACGTCTTTTCTCAATAAACAGGTCGACAATAGAAATTGTGTAGGCCTCGTAAACTCAAGGCTGATTAGGCAGACTTCTTTCGGTAATGTTAAGTCATTGACTGAACCGCTTAAAGGTAACGTAACAACATCTATTCAATGCCATTTCCTTGGGCTTAGCTTTATCATGTCTATTTAATTATTTACTAGGTTATTTATGCTTTCGAACGACCAAAGATGTACCTTTCAGGAAGTAATTCCTGCAAAATAATTAAAATTACAACCATATTTTTCTTTTTTAAAAATTTCCAAATACGACAATCGACAAATTAACATTAAAAAATTTTGTGGGTACGAAAACTGTGTAATAACTCGTCTTCTAAGAGTAGAATCAAGCAAAACGTAAGCATCGTTCTTTATAGGAATTAAATTTAATGTGATATCAAATAGTTTCATGCATAAAGCACACAATTTACTATTCCCGTAAGGTATTATTATGCAACTCACAACTGGATATTCCTTGCAGCCTTAACGAAGCCGATTTTAACGACGGTCTAAGTTACATAAACTACTGATTTTATTATTAAACAATAAGGGCAACAACCTCATTTCAATCAAGTTCTATTCATCGCAACCTCGCTCACGCAAACTTTTGAAATTATGCACCGTTCAGTAAAATTTGTTTTATCGCCACATTTACGGGCCCATTACCATTTGAGCTTAGTTTACTTTTGCGTTAAAAGAATTATCGTAAGTTGTATGTTTCCAATTATTCTCAGCTTATAAATCAACACTTAACAATACTAGCTACTAATAAATTGGTTAACGCGGGTCTATCTTCATCGTTAATACAATTACTATGAAAAATAAACTTGTTATTAGTAAGTACAGTTACAATTTAATAGGTTCACAAGTAAGCGGCTTTATTGGCGATCGCATCAGCCTCAAGTTTTAATTGAAATATACGCGGCGTACATTTTTTGCTCGGTAATCCGCAATATGTATGCGAGATGTTATTGTTCTGTCAGGTTTCACCCCGTGGGAAAGAGGCCTCAGTCCCGGAATGATTTTTTGTTTTACAAGTAATACACCAGAGAAATTGTATATCTGTACTGTGCTATCGTACGCCGCGCTTTTTGTCCCGCGATTATCATCATTACCGGTTCTAATTTGTCAGGATTTTCTTTTTTGTTCGTGCGACCGCACAAGCACCGTTTGCCTGGTGGGTATATGATTGACTGACTATCGTTTGTCGCGCCTATATCTATTTGAACTGTATCAATTCTTAGTTACCTAATACCTACAAGTTTAATTTAATGCGCTAATTAATTAAACCTGTCGCACCTGCGCAGCTCTTTCGCTACTAATTAAAATCGGGTTGTTTTGGATTACTATCTCATTAATTCCATCACAATTCACTAATGCTGTTTACGTCAACTTCGGAAACAAAGCTATTACAATACAGACATTGGATCCATTGTTACCATTCCTATGATTTATAATGATCGCTCATTGATGAACGACGGAATCCGTCGCGAAAATATTCGGCGGCTTCTTTGCGTATAAAACCAATTTACATAGGAATCTTACTGCTGTCAATATATCGGCTTCACAGAAACGCTTCCGATCTGCGGAAAAAACTGAAATCACAACAATAGAGCATGAGAACCTTTTAGTTTTTTTGCGGCGCTTTTTTACTGTGAAGTCTATTCCTCTGGGTTGAGACTGCGGTGTTTTTTGTAGTCGGCCTGTCAGTCGTCACGTTCCCAGAACGGAGGCCTGCAGGTAGGCAGCAGTGTGGGCGAGTGACACCTCAGTGTTTACTTGTCTCTTCCAATAAGCTGAAAATAAATAATTTACCGGAGCAAAATAAACATTTTGTATGGACGAGGCTGAGTGTTGATACTGGATGGCGAAATATCTGGCTGATATGACAGGCTGGACATAACAATGACTCATAATTCTGCAGTGAGATAGGTAGCCTGTTGCGGCAACACATTTTGCTCGCTGAAAATGCGAAATGCTAATATTTAAATGAAAACTTTGTTTTCAAACTTCATTTTCAGTTCTAATGAGTGTGCGTAAATGGACAGTTTTTTTTAAATAATGCGACGAATCTGCACCAAAGTCTCTGATCAACAATACACTTTACTTTGATAAAGGCAATCGACAACCAACCAATTACAATTTAATTTTGAAATTAGCCTATTTATACTTAGAACGCCTTATAAAACAGTATCACTATGAATCCACATAGAAGTCAGAGATGAGGATAATGTGAAGAGCCCTTCACAAAGTCAATATTGACCGCAGTTACGGCTGCTAGCATTATTCAATAAACAAACAGTAAAAGGTGAATGCGAAGACATTGTCGCAGCACGACGACGGAGCGATGCGTTTGTCACGACGCGTGCGCACGACCCGAAATGGAGGAGGATTGTTTCAGACAATATGTAAAACAATACAATCAAACATTAACAAATAAAACAGCAGGAGTTTTTGATTGCGGACGTGAACACGATTTTCGTCATATACTTTGTATATGCTGTGCATGAATTCAATAAATTGTCTGTTACTTTACTATCGTCGAAGTATGTTGAATGAAAGTATATGTACTATACTGAGACAAGGGTAAAGTAGGTGAGCACTGCTGACCTACTTTTACCCTTGATTTTCTTTTAGTTGGCTACTCAAGGTATCTCTCTCTTCTTAACTCCTTCGTCAAGAACTTAAGAACTAAAAATATCCTGCATTCTACCACGCCCCCTCGATGTACAACTGTAAACTTAATGGCGATTCAGATAAACATCCAATTAAGTAAGTGTAAGCAATTACCGGTTTCAATTTATTATGTGTTGGTCAGCTTGGAATTTATGAAAATACATTACAATTACGAGCTTTCTGATAAAGTGTACAGCAGTGTCCAGTATCATTCTACTGAATTGTAGCCTTTGGCATAATCTACGTTTTCAGCTTTTACTATGTTGTCACCTGCATTTCATTGCCCTCTCATTTAAATTATTTAGGATGGATGGTATTTGAATCTTAGATAAATCCTATTGGAGATGTAACGTATTATAGTTGTTAAAATTTTGTTGTTGATAAACCCCAATGCCATTTAGCCCAAGACTCAGTTATTCTCTTCCGACTGCAATTATGCATTCCTGAAGCAAAAAGTCCATCTTCCTTGAAAAAAAAAACCTAATCCTTAAATCGTGGTAACTGATAATAATAGTTTTTAGGTATCCAGTTGGTATCCAGGGATGGATAGATAATTGAATGCTAAGAATAGTTTTGGTAAATGCCTACCAAGCAACATGACCGAGGAAATGCCGTCCAAGTGTCACGCCCTCGCAGCTGCA